CTCCCAATCACAAGACCAACCCTGGGAAAATGTGGGAGAGGACTGCACAGGGTGTGAGCCCAGGAAGCAGGGATCATTGGGAGCCATCTTGGAGGCAACTAACCATAACCTGTGTGCTCATTTTTTGTGACTGTCTCCTCCACTAGAACATAAACCTTATGAGTGAGGAAAAACCAGCAGTGCTGTTCACTGTTATATTCCCTGTCACAGTGCCTGCTGTATAACGGTCAATACTGAACCGTTTTATGTAGTGATGATGGTGAAATGAAATCCAAAGGATGAGATTCCCTACAATCCTATCTTCCACTCAAATTCCCAGCTGCCATTCATGGTACCATTTAAATAATTTTTAAAAGCAGGACTGTATCATGCCCAAGAACATTTACATATATGAGGCCTGTCCAGAAAGTATCCAGCTGTGCAATATGAAAAAGAGACATTTTATTGAAGAAGATAACAAAATACAAGAAACACTGTACATAGGCCGATGATGCCTCCATTCCCCTCAAAGTAGGCACCTTGGGACCTCACACAGTTCTCCCAATCACCATCATTAACCCTATCGTATTTTCCTGAACCTCATTGATGGTCTGAAATCTCTTCCCTTTCAAAGGTGATTTTAGTTTTCGGAAAAGCCAGAAGTCACAGGGCACCAAATATGGGCTGTACAGAGCTGAATCACCTGGGTGATTTGATGTTTTTGCCAAAAATCTCCATGTTAGACATGATGTATGAGCAGGCGCATTGTCATGATGAAACTGCCAATCACCAGTTGCCCATAGCTATCTATGGCCTTCTGAATCATCCACATAGTTTCTGCAGAAAGATGTTCAAGCTTAATGCAAAATTTGATGCAGATTTTTGCTCTACTCAGTCATTATGAAGATTTTATTTATTTTTAGAGAGAGGGGAAAGGAGGCAAAAAGAGAGGGAGAGAAACATCCGATGTGTGAGAGATACATCAATCAGTTGTCTCTTGCAGGCCCCCAACTAGGGACCTGGCCAACAACCCAGGCAGTTGCCCTGACTGGGAATCAAACCAGTGACTTTTTGGTTCACAGGTCAGCACTCAACCCATTGAGCCACACCAGCCAGGGCTTGCTCAGTCATTTTGAATGGGGGACAGCCACAGAGTACACATGCTTACTCAATAGCATCTACCGCCCCCACTGATTAGTACAGTGAAGTCCTGTAAGCCATTCTCATATTTATAATGGCTGGACTTTTTCCAGACACATATAAGAGGTCTCTCTGCATTTGTGCCACAGCCTCCTTGAACTGAGGGAGAGCATGGCCAGCAGCATGAGGCTGTAGTTACTGACACTGGTTCTGACACACAATCCTCTAAGACCTGAAACCTGGGCCCTGGGGTCTTGCATAAAGCACTGGTGCCTCTTCCTTTAACACAGAGCCAGTAATCACACTGGAACAATGCTGGAAGGGCACATTAAAATTTTAAATGTGTAGGTATCAGACTATGTAACTTTTCCTTTTATTTTGATCTCTATTCATGCTGTTCAAAAAGTTCTGAAAATCAGTCAATCCATTAACAATCCCTTTTTCAAAAGGAGGCTAAAAAAAAACATGGACTATTGTGAATGAAAGCATTTTTAGCTTCTCTCTTAACATAAATCACTGATATCTTTGGGCAAATTGGTGAGAGGCCATTTAAGAAGAAAGAGCAGTATGTAGGTACTTCCTGGGAATCAAGGAAACAATCTGAGAGTGAGAATAAAGTCAAAGGCAGGATCAGTCTAAATGAATGAGTGTGTTTTGTACTCACTTTCAATGCCTTTCACAATGTTTTGTTTGGCTTTCTTTCTTTCCATAACAATCCTGTCTGGTAACAAGTACTATTCCTGCCTCCAGTGTCCTGGGCCCAGGGAATGAGTAGGTGGAAAATGCAACCCAAACTGGTATGTTCCTTAGTTCCAGGTATCCCAGACACTACACCCAAAGAGAAAATAGTGGCACAGAACAAGTCACCTGTGAAATCACAAACTGCCTATTCTGGGTGCAGACCCGGGTGTACCTTATGAGCTCGCCCTGGTCTCCCGAGGCAGAGGAACTTTCTAGGCCTTAAAGACAGGGCCCAGATTTTTCTTCAATCTTAATTAACACTTTTCTAATAAGGCCCTATTAACATGAACTTTTCAAATTCCACAGGCCTGGCTCCACATACTGGCCCTATAACTCCTGAAGGGCTTTCAGTCTCTCTGTAATTTAGTGTAAATATAGTCACTGGCTGTTGTAAGAACTATAGGCAATGGGCCTTGGCTGGTGTGCCATCAGTGTTTCTCTCCTAGCTCAGATTGAGCATGGGCCTGTGAACTTAAGGGTGGCTGGTTTGATTCCTGGTCAGGGCACATGCCTGGGCTGCAGGCCAGGTCTCCAGAAGGGGGCATGTGAGAGGCAACCACACATTGATGTTTCTCACCCTCTCTTTCTCCTCCCCTTCCCCTCTCTCTAAAAATAAATCAATAAAATCTTTTAAAAAAGAAAAAAAGAACTATAGGCAATAATATAAAGGCACATAGCAAGCATTCAATAAATTACCCCACTGGTTTTGTTAAAGATAGCCCAATTTCTAAAGTTTTATAAGAAAATATGGTCCTTCATTAACACATCTGTGATCTACTCCCTATCCAAGACTTCCTGGTCCTAACCCAACAACTTAGAATTGTTTCTAAGAAGAACTAAGGACTAGGGAAAAAGAATTAAGGAGATGTCTTCACCCAGCCTTGTCCCAGCTCTGGAAATTTCACCACTCTGGAGCCTTTTACCTTTTCCCTTTAATTCATTCTTTCAGCAATCATTTATTTTAAACTCACTGTTCAAGATACTGGTGCAGAAGAAAATACAAATATGAAAAGTCTTTGTCTCAGGGGACTTTCAATATAGAGCAGCAAATAAGAAACCAGTGCTTACTAAGCAGAATTCCTGCAACGTAATTTGCTTAAGAATTCAGTTATTGCCCTGGTCAATGTGGTTCAGTTGGTGGGAGCATCATCCTGTAACCAAAAGGTTGCCAGTTCAATTCCCAGTCCGGCACATACCTAGGCTGTGCGTTCAAACCCCTGTCTGGAAGCTAGATCCCAGGTTCAGGCACTTACGATCCCAGGTCTAGGAGCATACAAGAGACAACCAATCAATGTATGTCTCTCTCACATCTGATGTTTTTCTCTCTTAAAAAAAAAAGAATTCAAACTATTACTAGTTTGTAGACTGGATACTCTAATCAATAGATTATTCCCTATTGCCTCCCAACTCCCCTTCACTCACATACTGGCATAGATTGTAGAAACAAATCCACCCTATAACCCCAAAGGTGAGACAGTCCTTTACATTGACATCAAGCTGTAAGAAGAAATTACATAAGAGGTCAGGATGCCTCTCTGCCCCCAAATCTGCTGGGCCCTCAGAACCCCTCCAGAACACTGCATGTTTCTGCTTTGTTGCTGGGCCCACTCTCCACAGGGACCCCTCACCGCTGTTCTCAGGTGGCCCACTCAACAACCTTCGTCCCTCTCTGCAGGCGACATTGTCCCCTCCTTAGAGTGAAATCCAAGGCCACCTAAAACATTACCCAGGCCTGATCTTCATTTGGTCATTCAACAAATATTTATCAGAGCTTACTCTGTGTGAGCCTACACTATGCAAATGTGGGAGATAAAAGAATGACAGCTAAGCAACCATGGTCCCTGCCTTCACAGACCTACTAAGAGACACATTCAGGCCCTGACCCTGTGTGACTCGGTTGGGCGTCCTCCCACAAAGCGAAAGGTCACTGGTTTGATTCTTGGTGGGCCCAAGCGCCTGGGTTGGGGGTTGCTGTTCTGTGCCCTCTTGGGGTGCCTAAGAGAGGCAACAGATCAATGTTTTCTCTCTTTTCTCTCTCACATCAATGTTTCTCTCCCTGCCTCCCTTCCTTCCCCTCTAGTAAAACCTTTTTTTAAAACAAGATACACATTCAGCAAAAATTACACAAAAAACTGCATACCTTGAAAGGGACGAAGAGAATTACAGGTGCTGCAAGTCTTAGGGGCCAGGAGAGTTTTCCCTAAGAAGTGATCCAGGGGTGTCCAAACCACAGAGTGTGGGCTGCACACAGCCCAGGGCTGTGAATGCAGCCCCAAACAAAGTTGTAAATTTACTTAAAACAGTGTGAGTTTTTGTGTGTGTGTGATTACGTGTCACAATGTATTTAATGTGTGGTCCAAGATAACTCTTCTTCTTCCAGTGTGGCCCAGAGACACCAAAAGGTTGGACAACCCTGGAATCTCAACAACAAAATGAACATTACCTAAGGGAAGAAGCCAGGAGCACTGGAGAGGCCCTGAGGGCAGAAGGAGCTCGCATCATCTGCGTTTCTAAATGAAGCCAGGTAGGTAAGAACTATATCATACACGGGCGTTATGCCTCCCGCAAGGAGTATGCATCTCTAAACTACAGAAATATTTCATCAGAACCCATAAAGAGGTTTCAAAGAGCGAATGCCCTGATCAGATTGACCTGCCCGTTGATTTCAGTGCAGGCACAGGGTCCGTTTTTGCCTCAGGAGGTTATCATCCCCAGGGTCCAGCCCAGCGCCTGCCACCGCTGGTTCTTACCAACACTGTTGGCACAGTGCCTAGATGCAGCGCGGGGCTGTGTTTCTCGGGAAGGGCCTCTGCCGAGAGCGAAAAGCCACCCGCGGAACGGTGGGCGGGGCTGGGGCGCCCCAGGGGACCTGAAACGCGACAAACAATCCACGCGCTTTGTACCCGCGCTCTCCAAGCTTTAGTTTCTACGGAGGCGGCGTCTGGTTCTCGGCGAAGGGAGAAGCCCCAGCGGCCTACCTGCGGGAGGCCGCACTGACCCGTGGAGTGGCCCGGAGCCTCACACCGCCCACTGTGTACAGGTGAGACCCGCGGCCCACGTGCGGCACCGTGGCCCGGACCCCGGATGCCCCTGCGCGCAGCCTCGGGCGCCCCCTCTGCAGCGGGAGCGGCCGCCATCTCTGAGAGGCGGCGGAGGGCGCAGCGAGCTGTGGGGCGGCGTCTACGCGGCCGGCCGCGGTGAGCCCTCAGTGAGGCACCGAACCGGCCGGGATGAATTCCGGACCTCTTGAGACGGCCTGGCGGTGATCAGAGGCGGGGACCAGAGTCCAGCGCGCCCCTGCCCGACCAGGCCCTGCGATCAGCCGCTCCAACCTCTGACCTTGTCCCCCAACTGTAAAGTTAATATTGTACTTGTTGAAGTCGAATATTATTGTTGAAAAAGTGGAAAAGCACAAGGAAGGAAGCACATGAGACGAATCCCTGCACTCCGGAGACAACCTGGGTTAGCATTAAGGTGTATTTCCCTCCTTTTCCCAGTAAGCACGATCAGGCTGTTTTTGCAGGACCTGGATCAGAAACGGCTGTAACTTGGCTTCTTTCTCTTAATACATCATGGGCATCTACCTTCGGCTTTAAATGTTTTCCCACGTTTCTTTTTATTGACCGCACTAGATTGTGACGTTGTGTGACAGGTTGACCTCTGCATCCTTCCCTGGAGTCTGGCCCCGGTTTGACCTTCAGTTTGCTGAGTGACAGGACTGTGATTTACTTAATGGAATCCGACCCTGATGGTGAACATACACATAGTTTTCAGTTTATAGCTGTTACAAAAGCAATTTGTTAGCAGTGTTCCGTCTGGGTTTTTTTTTGGTTTTTTTTTTTAGCATCATTGCTTGCAGTGACTCCTCTGTAAGGCTTGTAGTATTATATATATTGCAAATTGCTTCTTAGAAGAATTGTTCTCGTTTTTTGTACCCCCACTAGCATTTGGGAATACCTGGTGTAAAGAACTTTCTAACCAACTTCGTTGTAGGTCCCAGTGGGTCACAGAGGACAGGGGGCAAAATGTGAACACCAGTTTGTTAAAGAGTGACCTGCCTTATGGCTGGCCTTACCCAGAGCCAGAGCTTTTGCTGAAAGGGGAACTATGAGTATCTTAGTAATTTTAAAAACTGATTTAACTTTAGCTTGGACAAACCACTGTAGTCCTCAATACGGTTAAGTTTAAGTTAATGCAAAATTGAAGCTGGGGTTAGATGAATCATGGAAACCTTTTAATGTTTAAGTCATACTCTGAAACAGGTGTTGGGTGGCTAGGGAAGGGATGATAAAAGATCATGCGGCTAGGTAGTCACTAGATACTCAAAAGCTTTCCTTAAAGACTTGTAAAAAACTTGGAGTGATGTTCGCATCCGTAAACATGAAGGGAATTTGTTTTTCCATCCTTTTCATTTACAAAGTTTTGTGCTAAAATAGAAGGAATCTTTTTGTCATGATCATTTTCTTTTTTGGTGACGTGGTTCTGAAAATTAAATATATGTATTAGAGTTTAAAACTTACAGTGCCTTGATTCCTTTCCCCCAGATTTTAAACCAAGGCCTTCCCAGGCCTTCCCGCACATTTGGCAGGGTTAGGGTCCTTTCTCCGTGAATCCATTCTGCCCTGTATTCCCTTTACAAGACACATGGCTGTGCTGTCGTCATCTTTTGGCCTCTGGAGTTCCTCACTCTGAGCTTAGTGCCCAGCTCAGTCAGTGCCTGGCATATAAGTGACTGATAACTATTATCATGGTGGATGGATTGAGAAGATGACATGTGTTTATTAAGTCCAGTTTGTAAGTTAGAGATCTGTGTGTGACAGTGATTTCTCATTCAGATGAGTAAGGTAGAGACCAGGGATGAGGACAGCTGTGATCATCCCTCAATTAGAAGTGATACCACATTCCAGGAAACACTACTGACAGGGCACCTGGGTCTTTTGTTTTTAACAACTTCATTGATATATAATTCATATACCATATAATTCACCCATTTAATTGGTGCAGTTCAAGTTTTTGGTATACTATAGTATTTTTTAAAGTGATGGTAAAATATATATGTCATAAAATTTGCCACTTGAACTATTTTTAGGTGTTAACAATTCGGTAACATTAAATACAGTCATAGTGGTGTTCAGCCATCATCACTATTTTGAAAATATTTTACACCTTAAACAGATACTCCATAAATAAATGTTGACTGTATGAATGAATGTTGATCATTTAAAGAAAAAAGTTTTAAAATGTTATCTTGATTTCTAATCTCCCTTTAAATTGGTTGTGTTGTTTTTTTATACCTATATCAAAAGTCATTATAGTTAAGATGGTACCATTCCTTATTTTAGTATATGATACTTGAAGCTCCTTATAATGGATAACTTGGCAATTCTTTCAAGTTTGAATGCTGAAATTACTGAACTTCTAGAGCCTCTAAAAGTTGTAGAGCAAAATTTGAATAATATCCCTAAGTTCTCTCTGCCGTGAGGGATGCCTTATCCAAGTTGATGTTATGCTGTTTGGCTTACTCTATTGCTTTGTGTGTTCTTTGCTTTCATAGTTGTAGGACACCCTCCACTTTCATAGGAAATATGCTAGGGCTTAAGACTAGAAAAATCTACAAATTTTTAAGGTACTAATAAAAAAGGGAGTTTATTTTAGGTACAAAGTATTTTTTTAAAGATTCTATTCATCTATTTTTAGAGAGGGAAGGGAGGGAGACAGAGAGAGAGAGAGAAATATCAACGTGCAGCCGCCGGGGGTCATGGCCCGCAACCCAGGCATGTACCCTGACCGGGAATCGAACCTGCGACTCTCTGGTTCGCAGCCCGTGCTCAATCCACTGAGCTATGCCAGCCAGGGCTTTGGTACAAAGTATTTTGAATATTTACCTAGTTTTCATTCTAAAATTCTTTGCTTTTCTTTGCCTTTTCTAATGCTTTTATAGATGCTAATCTCTTTCTTAACATCTTTTAAAAAACAATTTGTCATTTCTGGATATTTTTAACCAAAGAAGGTTGATGATTTCCCATTTTTAACAAGGAGCGAGCACCCTTGGGCATCTGTAGGGTAGGGAGAGGGCTAGTCTAGGGTAGATCTTGGGAGCAAAAATTAGCGAGCCTGTTTTTCAGTAGAGTTGGCAGGGGTACCACCATTAATCCCAAATCTTCAAATGTGGAGGGTTTCATATGTTTGTAAGTATGTCTGTGCTTCGGGTATCAGTAAAAAAGCTCAATCCGCATTACAGCCCAGTTACGGTGTAGTTCGTTGCACAGGAGCACTGTGGGCTCTTGTTTTGGCTTGGGCCCTTCTAGTGACCTGAGCAAACCACGTAACTTTTGTGGATTCATTGTTGGCACTGGTAAATGAAATGGACTTGACCAAATGGATAGATTAAGTTTGCCGTTATACAGCAAACTGGCATATTCTTGGCTGCTTCCTGCAAACTCAACATTTCTTTGAAGTTATCTAAAATTTTTTAAAATTATATATTCTACCATAATATAGCCTTCTAAAATTAATGTAAAGATTGCATTTTAAATTTGTTACCACCTGTAACATTGATACTTCCAGAAGATGCATTCCATTTATCGTGGAGTGTTATGTACTCTCTGACCTGCTCACTGCCTCACACCCATGGGGCTTCTTCTGCCTCAGTCGAGAAGCAGGGGACCCAGAGGACCTCTAGTTCTCTTGAAGCTCTGGTGTGGTATAATCCTTAAAATAAACTGGAGTTTATTCTCTAGTTTTAGGAAATTATAAATCCATAACACAGAAAAATATGATTAGCCAATTTGCATGACTTCTTTTCCTAAAAATTAGCGATTGCAATTCTATTGGATGTAAAAGCTGTTTCATCAGAAACTGCATGCAATTTAAGAAAGGAATTGCAAAGTTAGAAAAACCCTTTGCAGATGTCATCTTTGTTGCTCTCAATCTTTCTTGCCTGCAATTCTGCTTTTTTCTTTCCTGGCTGCTAATTGGATTAAAGACTGTTTTGCCAACCATGGCATCTGGAGATGACAGTCCTATCTTTGAAGATGATGAAAGGTAAATGTCTTGGGTTGCAATAAACTACCTTTTGAAAGTTTCAAGATTGTTTTAATCATTCAGAACAGTTATCTGGGCTACTTTTTAAGGGACACATTTTGTAAAATTGCACAGTGCATGGATTTGCTTTTCTGTGGTGTAGAACAAGGGTAATAAACACCTGACACGAAGGTGGCCATCACTAATGTGGCATCTTTCATAGGACCAGAGGTAGGATCTCCGAATCCCAAGTTCAGCACCAAGTTCTTGGCAAGCACTTCCAAATGACATAAAGCCCATTTAGTGTCTCTGATATAGAGCACACAAAGTAGATTACAGGGAATGAAGAGTGGGTTGTAGTTAAGAGAATAGCCTCTGGAGCCAGAGTCCTAAGTTTAAATCCCATCTGCCACTTACTGTCATTGTGACCTAAGACAAGCCCCAAGCCTCTCTGAACCTCAGTTTCCTTGTCTATCAAATGGTGATCATAATAGTACCTGTCTCAGGGTGAGGATTCTAGGAGTTACTGTCTGTAAAGCCCTTAGAACAGCGACTGGCACACTGAGCACTTCCTGTGAGCTATGATGCTGTAATGTGACTTCTCTCAAAGCTAAAAACCCGTATCAATGTAAAAATATTTTTTCTGTTATATTTGTATTATACATGTAATTTACATAGGACATGTGTTTTATATTAAAATGTTTATATTATGTTTTAATATATGTTATATATTAAAATGTTATATAAATATATGTTATATATTTAAATTGGTCTGAAAACTTGTGACTAACTAGAATCCTTCATTTTTTATACGGTTTCCTATAGTAATGGCAAGTTACTATTTTCCATAACATTTTAATTTTTGTTATAGGACATTTCTTCCATGACTTCTCAGTCTTACTTTAATGAATTAGAACATTTTTTTGGTTGTTGTTAAAATTAATTCCTAGCCATTGGTTTAACTATGAAAGTTTTGTAGAATTCCTGTCTTGGAATGATTAGATCTGGAGAAGAAAATCCAAAATTAAATACTGCTTTTGAAATGAGGGGAGGGAGAAGTAGAGACTTCATATTGACCTTTCGCAGCATTATTCTGTAGCCAAACTTAGAATACTATCGTGGATAAACTGATAGATTCTTAATCCTATTACTATTAAGGTGACTTTGGAATTATCTGACTGTGCACCCATATAGAGTAGTTTTATCTTAAAGGAGGAGTGTCTAAGAGGGAGAAGATACTTACCTGTACCAGTAGGATTTCTTAGGTAATATCCTTTAATATTTGTAATTTCAGGGGTTTTACAAATCTGTTTTCATTTGAGAAGGATTAATTGGCTAGTCCATTACTGTCTTTGACCTATCGTAATTACTGTATTTTATTCCCTTAGCCCTCCTCATAGCCTGGAAAAAATGACAGATCTTGTAGCTGTTTGGGATGTTGCTTTAAGTGATGGAGTCCATAAGATTGAATTTGAACATGGGACCACATCCGGCAAACGAGTAGTATATGTAGATGGGAAGGTAGGAAAAAAATGCTACTTTGTAAATATGGTATACAGAGAAGGTCGATTTTGTTCATGTAGATTCTTTATATGTGAATTCAGGCTTTTCTCTTATTAAAGTGGTTATCTTTATATTTTGGCCTATATCATTTTGCTGTACAAAGTGATCTAATAATAGTTATAGAATTCATTAAATATAACATCTAATATTTAAACTTAAAATGCCTTTATTTTTATAACCTTTGCATCACAAATTAATAAAACTATATCTAACCAGCATTGTCTTTAATTATATTATTTCTAAAATTAAATATTAAAATTTCCCCCATTCTTGCTTTTTCAATTTTTCTATTTTATTACGTAGGAGGAGATAAGAAAAGAATGGATGTTCAAGCTAGTGGGCAAAGAAACCTTCTGTGTTGGAGCTGCAAAGACAAAAGCAACCATAAATATAGATGCTATCAGTGGTTTTGCTTATGAATATACCCTGGAAATTGATGGGAAAAGTCTCAAGAAGTATATGGAGAACAGATCAAAAACCACCAATACATGGGTATTACATTTGGATGGTGAGGACTTTAGAGTTGTATTGGGTAAGTGATTGCTGTTTCTTCAGAATGTATTGGCTTTTATGACGGCTGTTCAGTTAGTTTTCTAACTGTCCAGACCTTTCATGGAAGCTTTGAATGGCGAGAGTGCAAGTGCAGGTGTATTTTGAATGTGTTCTATGTGAATAAGGTGTTCATTAATCAATTAATTTATATATACAATAAGAGGCAGATTTTATAGCAGTGGATTTCAGGATTATAAACTTTGGCTTAAAAAACCAGATATTGGCATAGACATTTGTTCTTTGATATTTTACTTTAAAAGCATGTCTAAAGGGAGTTGGAAATTTAAGATTCATCTGTAAGAAGGGAATTTTTCTCTAGGAGGCAATAGGGTTAGGACTGCAGCAGATCAAAACTGTCAGAGTCCAGATAAAGTAGATTAAAAAGTAAGGAGCCGTTGAACTTTAAGCTAAGTTCTGTTGTTCCAGATTTACCATCTGTGTCCTCAGTTTCTGTGGGCCTTCAAAACTCGCAGTTTGAATATTTACCATTACTACCTTTTCTCTCTTCTGGTTTCTCCTAGTTTTCCTCTTCATGTCACTGAAGTTCAGACTGTTTAGATCGCCTCGTTAACTCATTGATGTATTTCCTTAGAGAAGGCTGAGCACCTACAGCAGTCAGTGTGCCAGGCACTGAGGATGTAGAGATGCAGAGACCTTGTCCATGCCTTTGAGATTCCACAGTGTAGTCAGATGCTGGCAAATGACTCTAAAAAGATTCTTTTAAGAATGAAAAATGTTTATCAAGTAATAAATGCATTTAGTTAGGGGAAAAAAACAGAAACTCCTGTACATCTTATATGTTGAAGAAACAGGGTCGGGTTATCTAGAAGAGTTTCCTGTGGTCTGGATTTTGTTGATTGCATTCCTGTGATGTTCCTCTGTCTTTAATATTTTTGTAAATTGGTAGTTTACTCTGAAGAATTGGTCAAATGTAGGTTTTTTTTTTTCCTGGCAAGACTACTTTATACTTGGTTGTATCAAGAGACACATGGTATTGTCAATTCTTAATGACATTTGCAACCATTAATACCTAGTGCCTATATCCATGAATTCATTAGCACTTACCAAATGTGGTATTCTGGTTCTATAATTTATTCATTAGGTGACATACTTCTATAATGAGAAGCTTCTTGTTACCTACTCTTTAGTTATACAGAGGTAAAATTTGTATAAGAAATTCAGGAACGCCCTAGCTGGTGTGGCTCAGTTGGTCAGAGTGCTGTCCCATAAACCAAAAGGTCATGGGTTTCATTCCCAGTGAGGGCACATGGCTAGGTTGCAAGTTCGTCCCCAGTTGGGGCATGTGTGAGAGGCAACAGAATGATGTTTCTCACTCACATGGATGTTTCTTTATCTCCCTCCCTCCCTTCCCCTCTCTCTAAAATCAATAAGCATGTGCCAGGAAGGAAGGAAGGGAAGAGGGAGGGAGGGAGAGAATGCTTCTTTTCCCTTTATTTATTAGTTTTCAATATTTTGAATTAGCTTGTTATTTTCCTCGAAAAGGTGATCATTTAGGTTTTTTAAATCATTAGCTCATGGATTTAAACATTTTTTGTGCATTTTAATACATTTTAGGTATTATCTTTACTCATGCTCAAAGTTTCCCCTTCTTGGCCAGTGGGATGGATGCTCCTTAGATTGGCTCCCGGGTCCTGTTGACGCATCCTTGGTCGGCTTTGATAGCTCACTTGCTCTGGTATGACAGGATGTCCTGGGCTGATCATTTTGAACATTTTCTGCCTAAACCTGGAATCACCCATTTCTCCAAAAGACCCGATTTTTGTTAGAGGAAAATAGTACTATTTCAAGAGCATAATATGGCATACATACCTTAAGGATTCACTATTTTTAGGTTCTCAGTGTATGGAGCAAGGAAATGATATAGATGAATGGATAGCAAGGTGGATGGATGGATGGATGGATGGATGGACTTCATCTAATATCTGTATGCCCTTTCTTCCACACTGAGAATCCTTCTCAAGGACACAAAAGAGGATAAATTAGCATATGACATAATTACTTATTTGCTTTGTGCCACATAACATACATAATAGTTTCCATTAACAGCACAAATACTACCACCATTAATATGATTACCAAAAATATTTTTAAACATTTTTGTATCATTTTCCAATTTACTCTATCTATGAACATAGAGCCATTATATACTATGCTCTGTTCCTTCCAACCCATAGTTATTCTGTAAGTCATTCTATTACTCCACTGTGATCATTTTGCTTGTCTGAAACTTGTTCTCTAGTACATTCTTTAGGAATATTAACAATATTGCCTGAGTTTGATATGTTGATGACATTGACACGTGGAGGTCAATTTGGTTAGATATAATATTCTTGGCTCACATTTTCTTTCCTTAAATATCTTAGAGCCCTGGCCAGGTAGCTCAGTTGGTTATCCTGATATATGAAGGTTATAGGTTCAACCTCCAATTGAGGCACATACAAAAAGCAACCAATGAACGCATAAATAAGTGGAGCAATAAAATTGATCCTTCTCTCGCTCTCTCAAATCAATAAATAAAAATTTTAAAAATATCTTAGGTATATTACTCCACTTTCTTCAGGCATAATCTGTTACTATTAAAACATCTGGTGAGCACTGGCTGGTGTGGCTTGGTTAATTGGAGTGTCCTCCTGTAAACTAGAAGTTTGCAGGTTCCCTGGTCAGGGCACATACCTGGGTTGTGGGTTCGATTTCCATGTTGGGGTACATATGAGAAACAACCAGTGGATGTTTCTCTCACATCACTGTTTCTCTCTCTCTCATTCTTGGTCTCTCCTTTCCTCTCTCTAAAAGCAATGAAAAAATGTCCTCTGGTGAGGATTTTTTTAAAAAGTCTGATGACATTCTGATTTTCTTTCTCTTAAACATGCTTTGTTGCTCTGGCTGGTGTAGCTCAGTAGATTGAGTGCTGGCCTGCAAACCAAAATATCACCGGTTCAATTCCCAGTCAGGGCACATGCCTGGGTTGTGGGCCAGGTCCCCAGTTGGGGGTGTGAGAAAGATAACCAATCAATATATCTCTCACACATCGACATTTCTCTCCCTCTTTTTCTCCTTCCCTTCCCCTTTTCTAAAAATAAATAAATAAAATCTCTTTAAAAGTGCCTTTTTTTTCCACCTAATTTTACTAGACTATATCAGGGTAATTCTTGGTTATTTTCTCAGGTACATGGTGAATATATATTTTCAATGTATAGAATCAATTTTTTTAAAGTTTTCTTAAATTATAGTTTTAGTATTAGTTGTGTTTCTTTGCTTTGGTTTTCTTACCTATGGAAGTTTGTGATATATGTTGGATTTTTTTTATCTATCTTCTAAAGTTATAAATTTGTCAGTTTCTCTCATAGTCTTTCTTTCTCTCCTTTCTTTTTGTGTGCCTACCTTCCTTCCTTCCTCTCTCCTTCTTTTAAATGGACTTATTTTCTAGAGCAGTTATAAGTTTAAAGAAAAACTAAACAGAAAGTACAGTTTTTTCATATACTCCCTCTACCCACATCCCCTCAGTTTTCCCTGTTATTGACATCTTGCATTGGTGTGATGCATTTGTTACAATTAGCAAATCTATATTGATACATCATTATTAACTAAAATCCAAGTTTATACTAGAGTTCACTTTTGCATTGTACATTCTGTGGGTTTTGCCAAATGTATAGTGTCATATTCCACCATTACAGTATCATACAGAATAGTTTCACTGCCTTAAAAATCCCTTGCTCCCTCCCTCTTCAGCCCTCTCCTCCTCCCTCTCCCAGCACCCAGCAACCCCTGCTCTTTTTGCCATTTCTATAGTTTGCCTCTTGCAGAATGTCACATAGTTGGAATCATACTACATGTAGTTTTTTCATACTAGCTTCTTTTTTCTTAGCAATATGCATTTAAGATTCCTCTATGTCTTTTCAGGCCTTGATAGCCGATTATAGCTGATTTCTTCTTATTGATGAATAATACCCCATTGTGTGGGATAGCTGCAGTTTGTTTATCCATTCACCTTGGTTGCTTCCAATTTTTGGCAGTTATGACTAAAGCTGCTATATAAACATTTGTTTACATATGTGGACATAAATTTTTCAATCAGTTTAGATAAATAACCAGGAACTTGATTTCTGGATCATTTAGTAAGATTATATTTAGTTTTTGGAAACTTTTGGAGGCTCATCTTTATTTTTCAAAATTTCACAATGATATGTTTAGTAATGTAGCACCTCACTTTACAATAAAACCTGAGATCTATTCTATCTCATTACTTACTAATGGAAATTTTGGTTTTGAAAGGATTAGAATTAGTGTCAATATGTTTTAACAGATTGGGTTTCATATGATGAAACCAAGCCTTTACAAAAATTTTAGAGTCCTGGCTGGTGTGGCTCAGTGGACTGAGGGCCAGCCTGCAAACCAAAGGGTCGCTGTTTTGATTCCCAGTCAGTTCATATGCCTACGTTGCAGACCAGGTTCCCAGTAGGGGGCACGTGATAGGCAGCCACACACTGATGTTTCTCTCCCTCTCTCTCTCCCTTAATAAGTTTTAAAAACTTTAATAAGTTTTAATAAGTTTTAAAAACTTTAAACAAAATACTTTTAGAGACTTAATCAGCTGCTTTCCTAAATTGTAAGACAGTTGACAGTAACTTTTCATAGTCAAACTAGAAAAGGCTACCTAACCTATGCCAAGCTTATAATTTGTTTTCTTTTAAATGCCCAGGAATCTGCATATCCACTGTGGCTTCTGTTGGCCTTTAAAATCTCTTCATTTCCTCCTTCCACTCCTTGCCTGTCTTCACTCTTATCTATCCATTTACAGTCCCTCTTGAGCCTGAATGAGTTAAGTTCAGCCCAAACTTGTCCCTTTCGCTGATCTGGTAAAAGGACAAGGCCAGAACTGTTCACTGACGTGAGGGCAGTATTGTCTGGAGTATGTATATTGCTTGAGCTTCTGCCTCCCGGACCCACCAAGCCCCAGACTCTTCTGACTGAGGCCTGCCTTTTTCAGATCAGTGATGAGGAATGCAGGCTCCTGGGTCAGAGCTGTATGATGGGCAAATTACTTACCCTCTGATCCCTGTTTTCCTTATCTGTAAAATGGGTATAATAATAGCGTCTCCCTCACAGAGTTGCGTGGGTGAGGCATAATAGAATACATATAAAATATTTAGCAATTTATCTCCCATAGTGAGTTCCTTTAAAACATTATTTGTGGTTATTACTGTTGCACATGGGCAAGGAATGGACTTACCTAGAGTCTTGTGGTGAAAGTTACCTACATATTTATTATTTGACAGATTTCAATAACTATATTATGAAACTTTCTTGATTTTACATTGAGAAGTTAAAACACACCAAGGCCAGGAAAAGCTCTTAATAACAAAAACAGTACAATATACTGAGAGGCCATATTCTGTGCCAGATACTACACTAGGCATTTTACGTAAATTATTTCTAACCCTTATAACAATCCACAAGAAAAATGACATCATCTTCATTTTACCCATGAGGAAACTGAGGCCAGTTGAAACTCAGACTTGCGGAAGCATACTGCTAATAAATCACAGAGCTGGGATTTGAACACAGGCCTCTCTGACCACAAAGATCCTGTACCTTCCTTTTCACCACTCAAAGGATATGAGGCACACGGAGGCCTGTGGGTAGCACTGGTCAGCATCGTTAGGTCTGGCAGTCGCCACACCAATGAACACTGTGGGAGGAAAGCAGAGACAGCGAGAGAAACGTACTGTTGTGCTGAAACTTCACGTTGGGAGGAAAGTCTGTGCTCTGAAACCTTGTGCATACCCGCTCGGGTGTATCTGCAGACTCCACGGCTGTTGGTCACATGGGCCAAGGGAATCTGCAGGTAGACAGAGAGGGCAGGGTCCAAGATGAACATGCTCCAGTGCCTCCTTTGATTCACTGAATCCACTCCTGGGCCTTACCTGGTTTGACTCTATGAGATCAATGTGTTCATTTATAACACGTATTTATTTTGATTTTGTTTTTAAGATTTGATTTTATTTATTTTTAGAGAGAGGGGAAGGGAGGGAGAGAAGAAGAGAAATATCTATCAGTTGCCTTAGTACATGTCCTGACCAGGGACTGAACCCGCAAGCCAAGCGTGTGCCCTGACCAGGAATCAAATCAGTGACCATTCACTTTGTGGGATGATGCCCAACCAACTGAGCCACTCCACTCAGGGTATAACATGTATTTTTGAATAGGTGATAATCATTCAGAAATAAAAATTATGTGAAAAGATACACTGAGAAATCTTGCTTCCACTCCTGTTCCTGTCAACCCTGTTTACTCCATAAATATACCCGTTTTGAAAATTTCACTAATTTATTTTGTTCATTAGATTCTATGTGATGTGAAATCATATAGTACTTGTCTTTCTCTGACTGGCTTATTTCACTTAACATGATACTCCCTAGGTCCATCCATGCTGTCAAAAAAGTTAAGATTTCCTTCTTTTTTATGGCCAAGTAGCATTTCGTTGTATAAATGTACCACAGCTTTTTTATCCACCCATGTACTGATGGACACTTGGGCTGCTTCTAAATCTTGGCTATTGTGAATAGGACTGCAGTGAACATAGGGGTGCACATATTCTTTCGAATTATTGTTTCAGTTTTTTTCTGATATATTCTCAGAGGTGGAAACACTGAGTCATAAGGCAGTTCCATTTTTAACTTTTTGAGGTATCTCAATACTGCTTTCCACAGTGGCTGCATCAGTCTGCATTCCCACCAACAGTGCAAATGGGTTCCCCTTTCACCACATTCTCACCAGCACTTGTTGTTTGTTGATTTATTGATGATAGCCATTCTGACAGGTACGAGATGGTATCTCACTGTGGTTTTAATTTGCATTTCTCTGATGATTAGTGACTTTGAGCATCTTTTCATGTCTGTTGGCCATCTGCATGTCTTCTTTGGAGAAGTGTCTATTCAGGTCCTTTGGCTATTTTTTAATTGGGGTTTTTTTTTTGGTGTTGAGTTTTATAAGTACTTTATAAAATTTGGATATTTGCCCCTTATCAGAAGTATCATTGGTGAATATGTTCTTTCATTCAGTCATTTTGTTGATGATTACCTTTGCTATGCAAAAACTTTTTATTTTTAAAATTTTATTTTTATTTTTTTACAATTTTTTAACTTATTTTTAGAGAGAGGGGAAGGGAGGGAGAAAGGGAGAGAAAGAAACATCGAGCAACCCAGGCATGTGCCCTGACCAGGAATTGAACCGATAACCTTTTGGTTTGCAGACTGGCACTCAGTCCACTGAGCTACACCAGCCAGGGCTGCACAAAAACCTTTTAGTTTGATGTAGTCCCCTTTGTTTGTTTTCTTTTGATTCCTTTGACTGAGGCAATATATCAGAAAAAAAATACTGCCACGAGAAATGTCCAAGATAAGAAGCCATAGATAATAGCCATTTTTAATTGAATCCTTCTTGTGTTTCTTCATTCAGATGGAATGAAGAGGAAGTAATATTTTATTACTGCCTTATTACATAAAATCCTTATTATTGATTTATTAGTATATTCTGATAATCCATTCATATCAGTACATAAAGAACATTCTCATACTTTTTTTATAGCTGTAGAGTAAGTTTAAATAGTAAAAAAAATATCGAACTCATTCCAAAGTGATGAGCACTTGGGCTGTTTCTACTCTGTTACTGTTAAAAGCAGTATTGAATACCTTGTTCATTCACATGCCTCCTGGAATATAGTGCACATCTCTCTTTAGGAACAGTTCATAGAAGTGCAAAAGCAGCATTGCTGAGTCAAAGATTAGTTGCATTTGTCTTCTTAGATTTTGTCCAGTTGCCCTCCGTGATGCTTTTGCCATTTCGTACTCCCATACCTAGTTCCACACAGGTTCTCAGGACAGAGCATGTTGTTGGATTTTTGGATTTTTGATATTCTGCTAGGTGAAAAATAGTATTTCAGTGTTAACTTTCATTTGCCTTGCCCAAAATTGAGTGAGGGCGAGCACCTTTTCATGTGGTTAGGGCCTTTTTGAGTTTCTTTTCCAATAATGCCTGTTCATGTTCCTTGACCCATTTTGGGGGGTTGCTGGTCTCTTTCTCCTTGATTGTGAGGGAGGAGTCCTTATGTTACTAAGTTTGCCCTCTGTCTGTGTTGTGAGTTTTGAATATGTTTTTCCAGTTTGTCATTTCTTGCATGACTTTACTTATGTGTGTGCATGGTTTTGTTTATGCAGAAAACTTTCCTCCTTTTATGTAGTCAAATTTATTCCATGTTTCTTTTATGGCCTCTGGTTAGTGGCGTTCCTCAGAGGCATGTTAATAATAGCTGTTACAGAAAATGTGAGTGCATGCACATGTTCAGTAGGCACACTAAGGAAAATTCCAATCTCACCACCATCGTGGCTTATTTCAGCACTGTGTGCTCTCATCATGCACTGGGACATGCTGGGTTTCCCTGAAACAGTGGCTGTAAGTGCTTCCTGCTTGGGCTGCCACTGGGGCGCCCTGATCATATTTCCTGGGCCCCTCTCCTGCTAGCCCAGCTTGAAGTCCTTTCTCCACTCTCTCAGTGAGGCTCCCATCTCCAGGTATGGGGAGAAAAGAATCCTCTTAAGACCATGTTCCAGAGCAGATGGTCTATCTGTATCATACCAGACTAGTACCTCAGCCTTGACCCCTGGACTCCTGGTACATACACAGGTCATACACATCTCTAGTCTTCATTATCTCAAAGCTCGTCCCCTGGTTGCTTGTTGAGTGCTGTTTTCCCTCCTGCCACTTGCCGGGACACTGACATTAATAAGTGGGTCTCCCCTGGCTGGTGGCTCAGTGGATTGAGTGCGGGCCTGCGAACCAAAGGGTTGTGGTTCGATTCCGTCAGGGCACATGTCTGGGTTATGGGCCAGGTCCCTAGCAGGGGGAGTGTGAGAGGCAACCACACATTGATATTTCTCTCTCTTTCCCTTCCTCTCTAATAATAAATAAATGAAATCTTAAAAAACAAAAAAGTGAGTCTGGGGAATCCTGTCTCCAAAATGCATGTACAGTTGTGCACATGAGCTTACACACATACACACCTCCTGAAGTGAGCTATGGCATAGTAATGCCCGGGTGACTCCTGGCAGCAGTTGGCTCTATTGTGTTAGCACTGTACTCAGCACAGTCTACCAGGTATACCTATATTTTTTCTTATGATCTACTAATTTCTCCCAAAAATGAAATCATGACAAAAATGAAGAGATTACTTCACTATCCAGCAAGAAATTTCAGGCTCAATTTCTAACCCTGACATGCTGTCTACACTACGTGAACCCCATGGCAGCCTTTTTGGGTGGTCTTTGGTGCCATCATCCAGCTGGGTCTGTGTGAGGGGCGAGGGTGGCCCACTAAGTCAGAGGTATTAAAGGACGTTCTATGCGGGAAAGTCCCTACTCACAGCAATTTGTATGACCCTCCCTTAAAGATTGTGCTGCACTATTTATTTTGTTTAACAAGTCTTCATCACTTTGTATCGGGACCAGGATTTTCTCTTAAAAGTGTGTTTTGTTTCACTTTGATTTTGTGAACAAAGAATAATCAGTTTCTTCAAATTTAGGAGAATTTGAAAGCTATGAAAAGTTAATGGACTTTTAGGAATCCAGTGTATCAAACCTTTCTAAAAATAATACAGAGTTGACTTCATCTTTAATCATAGATTATAACTTTTTAAATTTGTTACTTTTACAGAAAAAGACACCATGGATGTCTGGTGCAACGGTAAAAAAATGGAGACGGCAGTAAGTGGCTTTTTGATAACCACCCTTCGTGCCGTGCATGTGCATTACTGCTGAAATGCTACTACGTTGTCTAATTATGAAGGTTTTATAAATTGCCACCATCCTTAGTTGAAAACAAAAGAGATGAATTACTCTAGACTCCAAAATCTTAAAACCGTTCCCAGAAGGTTCCTGGGCAGCAAGAGTTTGGAAACAATTTAAGTTGTAAACTTGCATGAACCTCACCTTCCACCTTTCTTTTCCTGGACCAGGCTGTATCCTAAAAAAGAGTTCCCACATTAGAAAGTTCTTCCCCTGCAAAATTGTGCCCTCCTGAAGCTTTACACCACTGCTTCTCAAACACGAGTGCATAGAAATCACTTAAAATTTTGTTAAAATGCAAATCTTAATATTTCCTCAAGTGATGCCAGTGCCACTGATCCACAGGTCACACTTTGAATAGAAGGCTTTTTTTCACACCATACCCTCAAAACAGATGATACTTTCCTAAAAGCCAAGTTTTTGAAAAAGAGACAATGCACACAATGTCAGATGACAACACAAAGCAGACAGGAAAGAGCACTGTCACAACCCCCAGCAGGCAAGTGGAATTTATAGACTGGCCGTGCCAAGAGGCTGCCCACGCACTGTGGCCAAGCGGGATGAGGTCCCCACCTAAACCTCAGTATGTCTGGCTCTTGCTCTCAGTGGCTTGCACTGTCAGTACTGTGGGTGGGGTGAATATAGGAGTGAATTTCAAGCTGGAAGAAAATAATAGTGGTGTAGTATATACAACACAGGGAGGGGGCAGTGGAAGCAGAAGAGACTATCTTGGGGAGCAGGGAGTGTGGGACCAGGACCTGACATCACTGGGTGGAAATTCCCCTGCGTTATGGGGTCAACTGGCAAGCAGGGGGTACCTGCCGTTCACTCTGCTGCACCAGGGTTGCTGAATGAGATGCCCTCTTCTCTAGTCACATTGGTAGCAAGTTGCACAATTGTAGTTGCTGCCATTATCTCCTCTATCTAATGCAGGTACAGGGAAGTGCGAAGAGGCACTTATTCAGACTACGTAGACCCTGCCGGGTCTTGTAGCTGTTTGCTTCTGAGGAAGTGCCCAAGCCAGAATTCAAAAGTTACAAAGATGAATGCTTTTCTTTTTCTTAATCCTGGTAGTAATTCTTGAAGGGAAATTGAACCAGGATTAACTCAAAATTGATCCTCAGAGCCTGAGCTACTCTCCAATGTCAATCTACTGAGTAAGACTTCTTTTATGCAGAGGTCTGGAGAGCTCTTCTGTATTTTATGACTGCTTTTGGAACAGCTTCGGTTACCATTAACATGGATTGAGTACTTACTGTGGGCCAACACCACACCTAGTGGTCCCTTCTGCTCTTACTTTTCTACCCTAGAATTCTCTACATGGAGAATATGCAGTTTTGAATCACATTCCCTCCCATCCTCAAGGAATTCTCCAGTGCAAATGTGAAGAGAACATAGTTTTATGATATTAAGAATGTGGTTGTAAATAAGAAGCTGAAAATAATGTTAATCCATGATGGCCACTTCTCAATAATTGACCAGAAACCACAAGTGTGTGGACAGTAGCCCCTTATGACCCTCATTGTAAGTAGAGCCTAGTTTGCAGGGCAATTTTGGCAGCTTTGTGTCTGGCAGCCTCCCCAGTACTGTGCACACCTGCTTTTGCTGCCTGTGAGTTACAGCTTATTTTCTCCTCTTCCTTTTTATCTGGGAGTTTCATGACCAAGATTATGTATCTGTCAAATTGCCAAGAAGCTACTTAGAGGGACTGTATTGCTCAACTATTGCCCTGCCCTCTAAATTGATCTTTACAGAAGCACAACAGAAAGGCATTTTTCAAGGCTGAAAAAGAGTGAAAAGAACACAGTGCACTCTAGGCGCAGACCCAACCCTTTTAGAGGGGTTCAGTATGCCTCCCCTGAAGAGCTGTTGGCCAAATTCCTCTTAGAGCTAGGAAAAGGCTTCGATCCCAGATGTATCCTGTGCTTGCTTTGGTTAGTTAATGTCGGCTACAGGACCTTTCTCTGCCTGCTTCAGCTGCCAGGAAGCTCACAGCCAGGTTTTGAGGCTGACTGGGGTTTCTTTGCTTTCTGGCTCTTTCATTTTTATCTTCTAATCCTCCTTTTCTTCCTTCCTTCTCTGTACTACTTGGCTCCTATCTTTTTACTCCAGATCAGTAGTGTTATTCAATAGAAATATAGTATGAGCCACAGATGTGACCTTCAAGTGTAATTTTTCTAGTAGCCATGTTTTAAGGTGAAGTTTATCTTATATTTAATTTAGTTTATCAAACTGGTATTATTTAATATATAATCAATGTTTTTAGTGAGTTATCTTACATTGTTTCATATCAAGTATTCCAAATACAGTGTAGATTTCACACTTAAACAGCATCTCTCATGTCAGACTCACCATGTTCCAAGTGCTCAATTTTGCTACATATTGCCAGTGGCTGCTGCATTGGCCAGAGCTAGTCTAGATTTAGTAGATTGTTTGATTTTATGTTATCTGTGTATTTTATTGTAGTCACTTTACATCCTGAGGAATCAGGTTTTCAGAGTGGTTAAGAACACTCCATCCCTTACTGACTAGTAAGCAAGTTATTAACTATTCCATGCTTCAAGGTCCTCTTCATTTCTATAAAATGAAGATAATAGCACTTCTTTGAGGTTATTGTGAAGATGCAATGAAATGATGCATGTAAACTGTTCTTGGTATAAAAACAAGTGACTAATAAATGTTTCCCATTATGTTTATTTTTACTTTTGAAAATATCCTGTCTGCATAGTACATGGTATAGGCAGAGCTGTGAAGTGTGTGTTTACTTTTTCTCTCCCAAACAAGATTCTTAGATTGTAGGGAGTACACACACAGAACTTGCAATCCATAGCAGAATATAAAAGCATCTGGACACAATTTTGCAAAGCTTAACATTTAACTAATATGTACTTCATTATGCCACCCTTCTAGATGGTGTTAATGCCCTAGATAAAGATGAATATTTCTGAGCACTAATTCATCCTTTTGTTGCTTAGGGCGAGTTTGTAGATGATGGGACAGAAACTCACTTCAGTATTGGGAACCATGACTGTTACATAAAGGCTGTCAGTAGTGGAAAGCGGAAAGAAGGGATTATTCATACTCTCATCGTGGATAATAGAGAAATCCCAGAAACTTCTTGAATGACTTCATCTTAATGAAAATCTTAAGTGACAATCGGGACTTCCAAATACTGTGGTAAATAAATATGTTCACTATGTACTTCTCAGTACATTTAGTCTGCCATGTTTATGGTTGGTTGGGGTTTGTTTTCTTTTTTTTTTTTAGTTACTTGAAACTGTAATGTTCCAGGGGTCAGGGGAAAAAATTATGTACAATTGAAAAACCTGCCATTTATTTTGTAAATAATGTAAAAATGTTTCAAAGCCAAATGAAAAATAGGATATAGACCAAAATCATTAATGTTTTACAAAAGGAACTTTTATTATAATAAACACTATAAAATAAAATTGGTGCTGCTTGATTAGTGTTTCTAAAAATGGATGTCTTCATATCTAACTTCTACAGAAGGCTGTCTCTCTAGTTCAAAGCCCTTGGTACATAAGGATATAATTATTAGTTTAATTGGAGAAAATGAGAAACATTTTCTATCTGGAAACTTAATATTAAGGAAATGTCAAATAGCATCACATGTACAGGGGTTGGCAAAAGGAGGTTTACAGTTGTGAGTACACAAAACACAGTTGTTGTTTTTTAAAATTGTTTATTTATTTTTAGAGGGAGGGTAAGGAAGGGAGAGGGGGAGAGAAACATCAATGAGAGAAAAACATCATTCAGCAGCTTCCCGCATGTGCCCAACCTGGGACCAAACCCACAACCTAGGCATGTGCCCTGACTGGGAATTGAACCCACACCTTTCAGGTTACGGGAGAATGCTGATATTTTGTACTGAATGGTAATGAAGACGTCATATCGAAACTAATGGGATGCAGATAAAGATTGTTATTATTATAAGCTAAAATTGATCAGCTAAGCAAACATCTTACACAATTGGAGGGGAGGAATAACAGCAAAATAAATACAATAAAGTAGAAGAAATGAAATAAAGATAAAAGGAGAATAAAACAAACATATAACAGAGGATCAAAAAAGCCAAGAACTGATTTTTTTAAAGACCAGTGTAATTGGAAAACCTCTAGAGAGACTAATTAAGAAAATAAAGAAGGCACTAATCAATACCAAGAGTGAAAGATACCACTTTCAATCCTGCAACATTAATAAACTCGTAACACACGAATTATTTATAAAAAGAAATTTGAAAATGTAGTTGAAATGGACACATTCCTAGAAAATTAGAACTCATTACTATGAATACAAGAAGATATAAACATCTGAGTAGTCCTCTAGCTTTTAAAGAAATTATATTCGTATCTCAAAGAAAACATCAAACAAGGTTACTCACAAAATTCTATCAAACTTTCAAGTAGGAAATAATGTCAATCTTACTTGTGTTATAAGGTCACAAAACCTTGATAGCAAAACCTGACACAGACCTTCAAAAAAAAAAAAGGACCAATCCCAATGATGAAAATAGATGCAAAAACCTCAAATGAAATATTGGCAATCAAACCCAGCAATATATATAAAAAGATAATATATCACAATCAAGTTGCTCATTCCCAGAATGTAAACCTGATTTAATATTTCCATATCAATATAACTCAGCAAATGAGAAAAACCATATGATTATCTTAGTAAAATAGAGAAAAATAATTTGATAAAATTCAACATCCTTTCATGATTTTTTTTAGTGTACCTTTACCAGTTTATTATAGGGGACATTATAAAAGTTACGTATGAACATACTGATGAAGAGGTCCATAGGGCAAGGTCTGAGTGGGACCTGAGCACAGCAGCTTCTGTTGCCTGTGGAGTTGGGGTGTGCCAACAGCTGGTACGTGCATGCATTCACCAATCCAGAAGCTCTTGTTCACAATTTTAAAAAAGTCCCATGGGAACTGAAGTTTGCTTCCTTAAACTGGTAAAAGATCCAGATTCTAGGGAAAACACCATACTTAATGTTGAAAACTTTTCCTTTGAGATCAGTAAATGGTTGAATATTGCCTCTATTCAACCTTTTATTGCAATTCCTAGCCAATGCAGAAAGGCAAAAAAAGAAATAAAATGTCAAAACAGAAAGAAGCTACAATTGTTTGTAGATGATATATACAAAAATCAAAATAATTTCTACAAATAGGAATAGTAAGAATGTTTGGCAAGTCTGCCAATACAACAATTGTATTTCTATTGAGTGCTCTGGAACTTTAAACTTTTATTAAAACACATTGTTGGATTCCATCTGCAGAGTTTCTGATTCAGTAAGTAGGTCTGGTGTGGGGCTCAAGAATTTGCACTTATAATCGGTTCCCAAGTGATGCCAATGCTCCTAGTCAGGAGCCCACTCTTTGAGAACTGCTATATATTAGCAACAAGGAAACAAAATCAAATATATAAGACTATACATAGAAAACTATAAATTGTACTATGTTGTCATAAATTGGGAGAGTCAATTTCTGAAGATGTCAATTTGCCTCAGCCTACTCTATCATTTAATTCCATTCCCATTCAAGATTTCCATAGGTTTCTTTCTGTGGATCTCAACAAGCAGATTCTAAATATATATGAAGGCATCATCAATAATTGTGACTAAAGAACATGGACACTCAAGACAGACTCCCTGGATTTGAATACCAGCTTCTACTTTAGACAAATTACTGAACCTTCTGTGCCTCAGTTTTCTCATCTGTAAAGTGGGGGAAACAATTGTACCTATTACATAAGATTGTTATAAGGAATAAATACATATAGTTTAGATGTGTGCCTAGCACATTTAATGGTGTGTATGAATTTGATAATAAAATAAAAATAGGGAGATGAAATCTACTGGATATCTTCCAGCATCCAGAAGCGGACTCATGCATATATGGACACTTGGTTTATGACAAAGGTGGCTCTATAGAACAATGGGGAAGGATTATTTTTCCAATAAGACACTGGGACAACTTGGTGCCTGTATGGGAAAAAACAAAATTTGGCTCTCACTTCACACTATATAAAAAAAGCAATCCAGGTAGACTGTAGATCTAAATGGAATAGGTAAAAAAATAATACTAATAAAGCATTAAGATAATCCAGGAGAGACTACCTACCTTGGGGTAGAGAAAGATTTCTTAAATACTACACAAGAAATATTAACTATAAAAGAAAATAATGATGAACTTGACATTAAGATTAAGAAACTTTTAAGAGGAAGTCACACAATGAGTAGAAATTTCCAACACATATGACTGACAGAGGGCTTGCACACAATATACAGAATTTCACACACACAAAAATTTCTAAATCCATCCTCAAATTAAAAAAAAAAAACAAAACCCAAAGTAACATGCAACCAAATAAATAAATGCACAAAAGCCTGAAGGAGGCATTTCACAAAGGAGAAAATTCATGACTGATGTTTAGATCCTGGATCCCTGAGAAGAGGCACCACATTCTGGAGTGGAGGAAGAGGCAGATGGAAAGAAGTGACTGTTGAGTGTGTTACTGACCACGAACCCTGCTCTTTTCTCAATTCCAGACCTTTACATATGCTGTACCTTTTTGCTATCTGTCCTTGAAGACTCTGTTCGGAGGCCTACTCCTCTGAAAAATCTCAGCCCCTGCCCCCCCTCCCCCAAGAGCTGTTCATCCCCAGTTGTCAGGGTCACATGGTATGGTACCTTTCTGCCTTCCAACCCAAGAATCAATCTTTCACCTTCTGAAGAACAGTGACCCCACATTACAGGCTGCCTGGCTGAAGTCTGGTGCTGACAGGTCCCACTCACAGCCTTAACCTGGCCCCTCCCCACTCCACCAAAGTGAGGAACAGTTATCATCAGTCCCATTTTACAAACTAGGAAGCTCGACCCTGAGAAATAATAAAATAAATACTTTACTCAAGGGTCACAGAGGCAGGGCTGGATAGCAAATATTGGCCTCTGCAGCTCAGGGTCTGTCTGCAGACATGAGGTGGATACTCAGGAATTACTTGTTCAACAAAGCCATCCGTTGTGTTCCCAGATCTGGGTCGACAGAGATGCTGTCCCCAACTATGGAAATGTACAGCATTTCCAAAAATTTGGGGGGAAAACTTGAGAAAGTACCAAAAAGAGAGGGAGCTAAATGTTTTGGCGTAAGATCCAATGTTGACCAGAGCACTTAGAGCCAAATCACTGAGTAACCAGCTCCCATGCAAGAAGCTAGCTCATCCTGCAGTTTAGACCCCAACCCATCCCAGAAGCTGCTTATCCTCTGCCTTCCACCTCTTCACTGGCTCAGGAGAGCCCCTGAGAATCAGACAGGCAATCCAGCAAGTACCTAGGAGCACCTGCTAGCTGTCCTCAGCAGCTACTCCTGGAGTCCTTAGAGGGCCTACAGTTCAGGAGTGGGGGAGAGTGTATGAAAAGGGCATTCTCGACTCAGGTCTGGTATGCCTGGGGTGGTTCATTTCCCTTCCTGGCTCTTAAAGACATTCATATTCACTGATTTAACATATATTTATAAAGGTTCCCTATGAGCTGAGGAGGACCCTCTGGAAACAGTAGTGCCCACTTCTGCCTGGCAATGTTCACTACTCTCCAAAACCCCTGACCTGCAACATGGGGTATGTAATGATGGACTGATACCAGACAAAACTCCCTGAATAAACCATCCTAGTCCTATTCCTGGAACTCTCAATGAATCTAGACCAGCCCTGGGAATGTTGAGAGGTCAACCGCCACCCTTAGCTGAGTTATTTCCAAGAAACTGTAGCCTGCTCTGAGTATCTGTACCCCATGGAAGAGGGAGCACCAAAGTGGTACAGTCTGGCCTTGGCTTGGAGACCGAGTTAACTGAAGAGGCATTCTCCCAGACCTAAGGGTAACACCCAAAGATATGAAAACTGGATGAGGGTACCCTCTTGCCTCAGGACTAGGAAGCAAGGAGTGAAGTCAGGGAAGAGACCACATGCCTCACAATTCCTTAGGTTAGTTTGTCTTGGTCATTTCTTCAAGAATCCCAGCGCTGAGGTCCACATACCTGTGCTGCCATATAGAAGAAGCCCACACATCCCAAGAGCAGCTGAAACCAGCTCACCCGTTTATTTGAGAACATGAAGGAAGACAACAAAATTAAACAATCTTTAATGAAGTTCCTATAGAAAACTCAGTCACAGGGCAAATACTCAGTTCTCTTTCCCATGTCATGAGGACTGAGAGATCCCAATAGTCTTTGGAGAAAAAGCAGTAGTTTTGCTGGATGTTGCCAGTACTCAGAAAGAGCATCCATTTACACATTCAAACCAGTAGTTCCTATTGCACATATTAACATTATTTGCCATCTAGCACCCTAAATATATGGTACCTCAACAAATAAATTAAAGAATTCCACATGGCATGAAACCATTTCAATTTGAACTAATATCCTTTTAA